TAAACTACTCGATGTTAATTTTATATCAAAATACATAAATCCAAACTAGGTGTCCAACATTATGATGGCGAATAAGGAAACCTAGAATTGGTGGTTGTGCATTGACTTAAAGAAGAGAATAATGCCTATCCCATGCACTCATACCCGCTTTTCAATGTTTACACCCTAATTGAATCCACGATGGGAACACCAGTCCGATCTTGGAAGCATTCTCTGAGTGCCAAAAAGTTATGATGCACTTCATTGCTGAAAAGAAGACAAGCTTCGTCATGTAGGAGGGAAGTTTTACTACACAAGTATGCTCTTTGGATTGAAAATGCATGAGCCACATGCAAAATGATCATGGATAACATATTCCATTAATAATAAGGAAGAATCTTAGAGGTTTATGATGATGATATACTTATGGAGAGCAAGTCACTCACCGATCATTAATCAAATATGCTATAAATATTTGGAACATTTTGATAATATATCATGAGGCTTAATTTGATATAGTGCATACTTAGGGTTAGCTTAGAGAATTTTTGCTGTTTATTATAGCCCCTAAAGGCATCCAACCAAATCTATAGAAAGTTTGTGTAGTAATGGAGCCACAATTGCTTAAGTTAGTAAAAGATGTTTGAAGGATTACCCAAAAAAATAGCAGGTCTCAGCTAATTCATCTAGTGGTTGGGTGAACAATGCACCATATTCCTCAAATCCTTGAAGGAGTTAAACACCTTTAAGTGGATGCATGAACATGAGATGGCATTTATCAAGTTGAAATAGGTTCTAACTTCTCTATCTATCTATGAAATCCCTCAATATAAAAACTTTATTCATGTACCTTGCTTTCCCTCATACGCAGTTCAAGGAAGAGTAAATAGGCATCATCTCATCTCACTACCAACTCTAAGAGTTATTAGTAATCTTCTTCCTAGTGCACTAGCTTTCGCTTGCTATAGCAAGGCTATTGAGAGTTTTGATGCCTTACAATTGTAGTTCTATTAGAGATAACATCTAAACACCTTCCTCTTCACCTCTTTTGTGCTATTCAAACCAACATTTTTCATTATTTGAGCTATAAACCCAACATCCCCTATTTTGGCTTTATCACCTAATTAAGCTAGAGAAAAGGTTAACTTCCCATAGCCAACCACAAGGCTTCCCCATAAGTAAACTTTCTTAACCCTAGGAGATATGTGTCCATAATTTCTATAGATAGCTTTTTACTTTGGAATGCCTAGCCACCATTCTTAATAGACTCACTACCCCATTGCTAATCAGATTGTTAGCCATATCTCCACACCCAATGACTCCTATCAATTTTGTCCCTTTGAAGTCAGTAACTAGGATGGTCAGTCAATACCATGCTGTGTCAAGAACTAAAAAAAAAGGATGGTCAGTCAACATAATGTGTATCATCAATATCCCATTAACAGATTTCATGTTTAAGCAATCATAATGTTTAAGACTTAGGTCTAGTTATTTACCCGCATATGAATATATTATGAATCTTCGCCCTCAAATTTATATTATACTCATCACTATCTTATAATGATTAGACATGGTCAAAATTCATTATAAATCATTTACATTCTCTCTTAATAATAAAGCTTAGCATGGATATAAAAATAGTGGAATTCATTTTCTTGTTAATCGATTGATGGCTTTCCATGGAGTTACTTTTGTTAAGATATCATCACATTTTCCTTTGGGAAGAAAATAATCTATTTATTTTGTATATTTGATCTTCTTTTCCTTGTCTACATCCCAAATTAAATCCTAGAGCCACTACAAGTTCTCATTCTTATCTCCCCTCACTTTGTAAGCTCTCAATTTAAGCCCTAAAACCCCAACTACTCTAAATCTTCCTAGTTTTAAATCATAATCCTTCCTCTCTTACAATAATACATAAATATCTCTACTTTCCTTAACAAGTATTTGACATAGATCCTTACATTTTAATCCCCAACCCTCCTCTCTGTATAAACCACACATAATACTACATTATGATGGCGAATAAGGAAACCTAGAATTGGTGGTTGTGCATTGACTTAAAGAAGAGAATAATGCCTATCCCATGCACTCATACCCGCTTTCAATGTTTACACCCTAATTGAATCCACGATGGGAACACCAGTCCGATCTTGGAAGCATTCTCTGAGTGCCAAAAAGTTATGATGCACTTCATTGCTGAAAAGAAGACAAGCTTCGTCATGTAGGAGGGAAGTTTTACTACACAAGTATGCTCTTTGGATTGAAAATGCATGAGCCACATGCAAAATGATCATGGATAACATATTCCATTAATAATAAGGAAGAATCTTAGAGGTTTATGATGATGATATACTTATGGAGAGAAAGTCACTCACCAATCATTAATATAATATGCTATAAATATTTGGAACATTTTGACAATATAACATGAGGCTTAATTTGATATAGTGCATACTTAGGGTTAGCTTAGAAATTTTTTGCAGTTTGTTATAGCCCCTAAAGGCATCCAACCAAATCTATAGAAAGTTTGTGTAGTAATGGAGCCACAATTGTTTAAGTTAGTAAAAGATGTTTGAAGGATTACCCAAAAAAACAACAGGTCTCAGCTAATTCATCTAGTGGTTGGGTGAACAATGCACCATATTCCTCAAATCCTTGAAGGAGTTAAACACCTTTAAGTGGATGCATGAACATGAGATGGCATTTATCAAGTTGAAATAGGTTCTAACTTCTTTATCTATCTATGAAATCCCTCAATATAAAAACTTTATTCATGTACCTTGCTTTCCCTCATATGCAATTCAAGGAAGAGTAAATAGGCATCATCTCATCTCACTACCAACTCTAAGAGTTATTAGTAATCTTCTTCCTAGTGCACTAGCCTTCGCTTGCTATAGCAAGGCTATTGAGAGTTTTGATGCCTTACAATTGTAGTTCTATTAGAGATAGCATCTAAACACCTTCTTCTTCACCTCTTTTGTGCTATTCAAACCAACATTTTTCATCATTTGAGCTATAAACTCAACATCCCCTATTTTGGCTTTATCACCTAATTAAGCTAGAGAAAGGTTAACTTCCCTTAGCCAACCACTAAGCTTCTCCATAAGTAAAATTTCTTAACCCTAGGAAATAGGTGTCCATAATTTCTTAGACATATAGAGAGTTTTTTGCTTGGGAACACCTAGCCACCATTCTTAACACACTCACTGCCCCATTGCTTATCTAGTTGTTAGCCACATTTCCACACCCAATGACTTGTTAATTGTGTCCCTTTTAAGTCAATGACTGGGATGGTCACTCAATTAAATGCGTATCATCAATATCCCATTAAAATTTATTTTGTTTAAGCAATCATCATGTTTATGACTTAATTCAAGTTATTTGCCTACATATCAATATATTAAATTATGAATTTTTGCCCTAGAATTTATATTATACCCATCACTATCTTATAGTCTATTAGACATTGTTAAAATTCATTATACATCATTTACATTTTCTCTTAATAATAAAGCTTAGCATGGATATGAAAATATTGAAGTTCTTTTTTTCATCAGTGGATTGATGGCTTTTCATGGAGTTACTTTATCTAAAAAATCAACTCATTTTCCTTTGGAAAGAAAATAATCTATTTATTTCATATCTTTGATCTTCTTTTCCTTGTCTACATCCCAAATTAAACCCTAGAGCCACTACAAGTTCTCATTCTTATCTCCCCTCACTTTGTAAGCTCTCAATTTAATCCCTAAAACCCCAACTACTCTAAATCATCCTAGTTTTAAATCATAATCCTTCCTCTCTTACAATAATACATAAATATCTCTACTTTCCTAAACAAGTATTTGACATAGATCCTTACATTTTAATCCCCAACCCTCCTCTCTGTATAAACCACACATAATACTCCCTATATACTTATAGTGCCCTCAATCCACCTTCAATATTTCATAAACATTCCTTACCAATTTTGCAACATCTCTAATATCATCATTTATCTCCACCATATCTAATATAAGTTAAAGGAGCTCCATCCCCATTCCAAGAAGATATTCACTCTTCCATAAGTAACCATTTATGGCTATCCATGTGCGATATTTTCTAATATAATTGAAGGTAGTAGTTAACTATTGGTGTTTATGCCGTCTGGAATCCTCAAATCATAAAAATTAAAACTCAATAAGCGAGAATATCTACACTTTGCTTAATTTGTATGCTTAAAAGTTAGCCAAGAAGATATAATTGAGTGAAGTGGTCCTTTTAGAGCTCGTGGATGACCAACATAAAGCTTTAGTCAAATTTGACACCCTCACTAAGAGATGATAGCACTTTAACCATTATTATAATTGAGAACATTAAACATTTCATCTATTTCCACAAAACACAAACATTATCACTATTAAGCTTGGAAAATATCGTTGATCCTTCCTACAAGGATAGATCTTAAAACAGCTTTGCAATCAAATATCATCCTTACTGAGGGAAGAACACCATGCACTTATTTGATAAAGGTCTATTTGTAGACATTTGTTATAATATATATATATAACTATTATCAGCATTACAAATTTTTTTAATAACATTTTTTACACCTATCAAATACTAATCGATATACTTATAAATAGCACTTCCGAACACTGAAAAATCTGAAAAATAATAAAATAATGATTGTGATCTCTAAAAAGATTAAGACTTCATGTGAGACGGCTTTATTATTGTTTTTCAAAGTTATTTTTTAATACAAAAATTTCTTGAAGTAGAAATTTTTGTGATAAAAAACTGCTGTTGTAAGCATTAAAAAGTTGTGTCTAATGAAGGCTTCTTATTGATTCTTAAAATAATTTTTTGGTAAAAAATTAAAATTTTTGTACCAAAAAGTTGTTTTAAGCAGCAGTAAGAAAATCATCCCAAATGAAGTTGAAGTCTAAACCAAATTAAATTATGACAGAAAGGACAATCCAATCTTCCAAACAAAGAAAAGCATAATCAGACAATCAAAACTAGCAGACAAATAAATAGCAAAAAAAAAAAAGGGATAAGATACATTGTCTCCTATTTTACTGTAAAATCATGCTCTCAAGCCTTCTGTTTGGTAAAGCACAAGCACACCACAACTTCAAACAATGTTACATTGAAAAGTAGAGAATTAGAGATTGTCATATCCGATGAATATGCCAACATACTTCCCAGCTCATAACAGTGATTACAATTTACATATATAGAGAGAGGATCGTATATGAACCATGGGAATTTATGCAGTTAAGTTATTGAATTATGGGAGGAGCGCCACCACTTCCATCTCAGTGCACACCATAAAATTGGGGTTTTAGACTGGTATTTTAGCGGAGAAGAGTGGGAGAGGGGCAATACCTCCGGTGCATAAATTGTCATCTCAAGCAATGTTAGAAGTTTCTTCCTCTGTATTGCATGTCCTGTAGCCAAGTAATAGAAAAAGGTTTAGCACAAAATTATCCTAAAAAATAAGATCACTTTAAAGACCATTCTGGCTGTCAAATAGTAGCGATTATCATTTGGTTTGAATATTGTGGGAAAGTAATATCCTTCTTTACGCTCTACAAATATCTCCAAAATCACTAAAATGAAGGGATTATGCGGTTAATTCTATCATTTTATTCAATGTTACTTCTAATCAATACCATCCAATGACGCTTCAATTGTTTTTGAGATCGACCAGAACTGTATATTCCGTAAGACATGCCATCAATAGTTTAAAAAATCAAAATTAATCTTATGAAAAGGATATTTGATCCACCATCTTGGTATTTATCTCGCTTATCCTCTCTTTTGGGAAAACTATTTTAAGAGGGGTACGGTGCCATTGTACTTCCTGTTGGTCTCTGTGGTGACCATTGAATAATGATAAAATGGTATGCTATGAAGAGGAGAAGTTTACTTGGAATTCATGGGACTAAATCATGAGCAGAAAATAATGTTATGATGATGTAATGGTGTATAAGAAATATTAGGGGAAATTTTAATCAAGAAACTCCTTCAAAGATAAGGCCAGTGTAATGCTTGAGCAAGAGTGGAAGAAAAACACAGAGATTACCAATAGAGACAAGAAAAGATAGGAGAAGAAATTAAAATTCAATTCATTCATCAAATAATTTAAACTGATCCAGATACAAGTCATAAATTTCTATTATTAGAATCTGGATTACAAAGATAAGATTAAAATAAAATCTAATCCTAAATAAGACAAATTCAAACTAAAAGTTAATAAATCCTAGAATTCTTACAAATTGAGATAGATACTAAAGATCCAGAAAATAATCTAAATATAATTGATTATGCTGCATTAACTATGAGGGCCTGATGAAAGTCTTCTTTTGAAGAGTTACAAGGAAGCCTATTTTGTGGATGGTTGATGGGCAGGGTGGAGTTGGTAGAGGACGTGGAGGAACTACTTAATCAACATTTGAATTTTTGGCATGTGAAAACTAGACATAAAGTAGACTTTACAGGCTTTGGATCTTAACGTCTCAATGCTTCATATATTTTATTCATAACAATCATAGCGAAGAACTCATAGTTGCATAGCAACGGCATAAATGGTAGCGCAAACTCAATATTGTGGTATTTGTGGATGCACAAAGTCAACATATAATGGAATGAACAATAACACAAGATGTTTAGACATAACATGTATATCCATCTATAAGGAATGGGAAGAAATTTTAATTGATTTAAGTTTCATCAAACTCAAATGAAATGACAATCTCCGGAAAATTTTCTCATTCAAGCTCTGGCTTAGAGCATCTTTAGATACAAAATCATCATAGTCATAATTATGCTAAGATGTAATAACGTCATTATGCTCACAAGAGATGGCAAAGGGACAAGAGGAGTTGGAGTGGTAAGTCCTGGAGTGGTTGGCTAGAGATAGAAAATGAATCCTCATAAATAGGGGTTTTAAATGACATGGAATATTCTGTAGAATATACAGTTTGAATAAATATGAGAAGATCAAAATCATCATAAGATCTATAGAGATAATTGAATGAGTCATCAATTGCATATTCTAGAGCCTTAAGACAATATTTTGTCAAAGTTTATTATAAGATTTAAATCTTATCTAAAATAATTATCCCAACTTGAATATTTATGAGCTTGATGACTGTTAACCTCTGTATAAAAAGCAAGAAGGTGAAGAGTGTAGAAATCAATACCTTGTGCCCGGCGGATCCACAAATTCTGCCACAAATCCCGCTAAAGTCAGCGCCGAATCGGTCTCTTCCCGCATATCCCGCATCTCGCCTCGATCGGTCTCCTTCCGCGCTGTTAAAATGAGAGCGAAGCTCTCGTTCACAGCACTTATTCTTCCCACGACAACTCCTCTCCCGCAAATACGAGCCTCGGCAACTTTCCTTCATCCCGACGCCTTTCCCGACCTCTGGGTTCGTTTGGTCCACACAGAGAGAGAGAGAGAGAGAGAGAGAGAGAGAGAGAGAGAGAGAGAGAGGTTGAAGCCCCTATCACCACTTCTGACTTCTCCAACCAATTCCCGCGAGTTACCCATCGCCGAGCTCCAGCCAAGTTCAACCGAACCCACGACACTTGTTGCCTACCCCTCTCAGCGAGCAGAAGCCGACCGATCCCAAGCCCTAGCGGCTTCCATCTCCCCCGCATTTCGCTCCTCTGGCATCGTTCCTTCCTGCTGGAACGAAAGTTACGACATTTTTATCGGAAGCAGGGACGGGAGCTCGCAAGGTGTGAAGGTAACGATCCTTCTCCCCTTCCATGCGCGGTTTTAGCCAAATCCCGTAAATCCCCCCAAACTAGAGAGGGGGAGGGGATTTTATTTTATTTTTATTTTTATTATTTTATTATTATTATTATTATTATTATTATTATTATTATATTCTAATTAATTATTATTAATAATAATTAATTATAATTAATTGTTTTTTTAAAGAAGCAAAATGCAAGTGCTCCTCCCTTGCCCCGAGCCAACACCGTCAACCCTGCGAAGGTATGAATTTTCCTAAACTCAGATTCTTGCTCTCAAAGTTCGCGGCGCACCGAAAAACTGACTATACAAGCCTTTATTGCGCATGGTGGGATGGAACCCCGGTGTGGTGTCTACGGCGAAGCGGGATCACTTATAAGTACCCCCGAGCGGGGGAAAAGCAAACTGCATTTTTAAAACAGGTACCGTCAAATACCCCAAACACGCCTTTATTGCGCGTGGTGAGAATAAAGATCACGGCCATGGTGTCCTTGTCCGAGGACACCTACCACACACGCCTTTATTGCGCGTGGTGGGAAGGCCCAGTTTCTCGTAGTTTTTTCCTAAACAGGGGAGAGACGCCGGGAGGCTACCGAAATTTCGGATGAACGTGAGATTGGACTTGGACCTGATTTGAACTCAAACGAACATGAACTAGTGGACTTGTGAGCTCTGACTTGAACCAAATGGACCTAAATGAACTTAAACAAAAATGAATTTGAAAAATGTAAGACATGTATTTGAGCTTGATACTTGAACTCAAGCAAGAACTTGAAGGTCTGACCTATTTGAACTTGAATCAACTTCGGACTTAAGTGAACTTGAATAATTCAAACTAAAATTGAACAATTACAAAGGACTGTATTTAAACTTGATTGGGACACAACAAATCATATTTGGACTCAACTCAAATGAACAGGAGACATGAATTTGCACAGTGAAAGACAAGGAACTCGAGCTCAGGGGACTTGATTTGAACATTAAGCCAACTTACACTTGAACTCCCATTTGATTTAAAATCAAATGAAATGAACAAAGATTTGAACATTTGAACAAAGTGCGAGAAAACTTGATTTGGGACCGCAATGGACATGAACTCAATTTGAGCATAATTAAGATGAATAAATTACAAGGAATTGAATTTAAGAGAGCTTGATTTGAGCTCAAATAAATAATAATGAAGAGCTCAAATTGGAACTAAGCAACATTGGATTTGAATTTAAATGAACAACGGAGGAGGAAATTTAAGCAAGTGTGCAAGGACTCATGATGAATGAAACATCAATACAACTTTCGTGCATGTATCAATTGACAAAGTTAAAGGAAGATGATTTCACTATACAAGTCACAAGTCATCCTCAAAAGATGATAGAAGACTTGTAACATTTCACATGACCATCTACAATTAATCAACAATGATTGTAAACAATGTGATGATCTGCTAACTGTGTGTAAGCATCAATGGGTGGCAGGATGGTAGTAGTGAGAATTATGATGCATCATGAAGAAGACCAAAAAGCTCATGCACAATCAGTATTACTTGAATGTGAGATAAATGAACTGAACCTCTGTAATCAAAGTGCAATATGAGATGGTCACAAGTGGAATGAGAAGAGCACATAATGAATGTAGCATCTTCACTCAGCTCAACATCAGTGCATTTATAAATACATTGGCCCACCTACAAGTGATGAAAACTCATTGAAGTGAATGTTGTAACACCCCGCAGTTCATATGCAAGTAAGAACATGAATATACTACACACCAGCAGGAGAGTTGTCATGTATACAACATCTAGCCTATAAGTAGAAGAGAGATGTGCAGTGACTACGAGAGATATGCAATGGATATTACGATGTCCTTTCAAATTTTGGTGATTAATCAGCAAGTAAAGATCACATTTCCTTACAAAAACTGAGAGTCAATGTATAAAAGACATAACAACCTGCTGACCAGTTTGCATGAGAAGGTCAGTGATGAATACAAGCATCTACGAACAAAGGCAGAAGATTAGTTAGTGCACTATGATTCACCTACAAAAAGAGACAAGTAGTGCACGACAGTCTACCTATACAAAGCAGCAAATAACTCAATACAAAAGTTGCTACAATATGCCACCGAATATACAACCTTCATACAAGCAGACAGAAGACATTTACAAATATTTTCAAAAGCCCTATGTTAGCTAAGGTAGATTCAAATTTATCACCTTAGTCAAATACTCACCCCAGGTCTACAAGGTCCCCTTGGACGAAGCAACCCATGGTTGCTGACAAGAATCCTTCTGTTATGTTAAGTCGACTACCTCCTCTGACTAAGTAGACCAGGAACCACGATGGCCCGGGACGACGAAACCATGGGATCTTGATTGGTTCTATCATTCATTCCCCCACCATCCACTTTAAGTGCAAGGTGATGAAATTTCTATTTTAAATATCAAATCTTCCAACTTTCCAATTTCCACATTTCTATACCCATGCTGCTACTATATGCCAGATAACACGTATTCTCTACGTATATGATTGACGACTAGCCTTAATCGAAAGTTCCCTCTCATGATGGGGGGGATAATTAACTATAAGGGCTTACGCCTATAGGAAACCAGAACTCGGATCATAAAGTCCTCGTAAAATGAGGGCGAAATCTCTGGGTAGTGTCTTATCTACAAACACATATGCCTTC